ACACAGAGCCTTATTTAGTTAGCCCTTAAAATCTGTACCCGAATGGTTTCTTTCCAGTCCTAGTAGTTTTAGAATGTCTCCCTCAATCCTCTCTCTCACATCCCTGGGAGATGACCCCGGAGCGCTCCGGTTCTGCGGTGAACAGTGCTGTGTCTTCACCGCCCCCGCATTGCTCTGAGAGGCTGCCCTGCGATGCTGGGCTCAGGAACCGGATTAACTGTTTCTCCAGACAGGCTGTGTGACCGAGTTAAGTGATGTAACTTCTCTGGGCCTCGGTTTGCAGCAGCGTGGCATCCCTCCCCCCCCCCCCCCCCCTGAATGTGCCTGCCACCCCCACACCCCAGAGAGGTATAGTCCCTCCCTCCGCCCTCCCACACGGGGGCTGGGTGGGGGCTGCCCGGTGCCCAGGGCTGTGGAGCCTCAGAGGAAGGACTCTGGCCGCACTGCTCGCTGATTGCGACTACACGGGAGGCCCACTCAGCTGATCCCAGTCAAACCACGAACCCCATGAGATAGCAATCAATGGTTCCTTTAAGCCACTAAGTTTTGTGGCACCGTGCAGCAAGAGATAACCACACTAACCATGGGTGGGGGTGATGATGATAATGCCCACCTCAGAGCGTTGATATGAGGATTAAGTGAGCTAATAGTCATTAGATGCTTAGAACAGTGCCTGGTAATTCCGATGGCCATGCAAGAACATTTTGAACAACAGCAGCAGAAGAGTGACCTAGTACTCTAGACTCAGTACTCTGAAGGTATTAGAGGCTCAAGCTAACAGATACTCATTTTGAGGAAAGTATAGTAGTTGTCACTGTCCCAGTCCCTGGTCTTAAATATATATATATATATATATATATATATCTATCTCCGAAATCGGTTTGGCTCAGTGGATAGAGTGTCGGTCTGCGGACTGAAAGGTCCCAGGTTTGATTCTGGTCAAGGGCATGTACCTTGGTTGAGGGCACATCCCCAGTAGGGGGTGTGCAAGAGGCAGCTGGTTGATGTTTCTCTCTCATCGATGTTTCTCTATCCCTCTCTCTTCCTCTCTGTAAAAAATCAATAAAATATAAATATAAATATAAATATAAATATAAATATAAATATAAACATAAATATAAATATACATACTTCAGTTAATATGGAGTCAGTTGTTGGTGGTGAAAATGCTGTCCTGAAAAGCAAAAGGTATTGGCCTGTCTCTGAGCCCAGCAAGCCCCTTAACTCACTTATGGCTCTGCCACCACAAGCCTGCTGTGAGGGAGAAACAGGAAAACAGTTGTGAACGGGCTTCGAAGAACATAGATTCTTTAGCCTTTGCTGAGACACCTCATTTCTGACACACACACATCCCATACTGAGGCCTGCACTTCCTCAAACCCTGGCCCCATAGTTCTTTGCTACAACCGGTCTCTTGCCAATACCTCAACTCCCTTGCCTCTTCATCCTTTGTTCTTCACTTCCTCAAATGGTGAATCCTTTCTTTTTCTTCTCCCCATGCATAGCTAAGCTTCTTTATCTAAAATATATTTTTATTGATTTCAGAGAGGAAGGGAGAGGCAGAGAGAGATAGAAACATCAATGAGGAAAGAGAATCATTGATCAGCTGCCTTCTGCATGCCCCACTCTGGGGATCAAGCCCCAGGGTGTTTCAACAATTCTGAAACCAAAAGGTTATCCTCGACCCCTCCCTTTCCATATCAATCCACCATCAAGTCCTGCTGACTTTATCTCCTAAATAGCTCTCAATTCCACGCCCCCTTCTCTCCATCTTTACTGACAATGCATAATCTCCCCCCCCCCCCCCCCCCACCTCCAGCCTGGGCCACTGCAATAGCTTCCTAACTGCTCTCCCGCTGGCTACCACCACCTTCCAAGTCACTCTCTATATTTCAGCCACAGTGACCTTTTTCACGACACAAATCTGATTAAAATGCCTCATTGTGTCCCAATCTACTTGAAACAATTCCCTGGCTTCTTATTGATCCACACCCTGGGAGGCCTTGAATGGTATGGCTCCTCTGTCCTTGGTCATTTCACATCCGTCTCTCTTGCACTCAGGCCTCCTTTGGCTTCTGTGCACTGTGCTCCTTCTAGGAGCAGACGTCTCTACACGCTGCTCCCTCTGCCTGGATGGACACCCTCTTCTCGTTCACTCTTACTCCTTTTTCAGACCTCAGCTCAAGTTACTGCCCCAGGATGACTTCCTTTGAAATTCCAGACTAGGCTGGGTCTCCCCATCAGATGTCCTCACAGCACCACATGGCTCTCGTGCACAGCACTCAATGCAGTTGTAATTATACAGTGTCTGTGATCCCCAGTAGGCCCTACGCTCTGGGGACTTTGTTTTGCCCACTCTTGTATCCCAGATACCTAGTTCAAAAGTTTTGAATGACCCTCGATTTGATTCCCAGTCAGGGCACATGCCAAATTGCAGGCTTGATTCCCAGTAGGGGGCGTGCAGGAGGCATCTGATCAATGATACTGATATTTCTCTCTCCCTCTCCCTTTCTCTCTCTCTAAAAAAAAAATCAATAAAAACATTTAAAAAAATAGCTATGAATTTCTGATTGTTGAAATTGGATAATAGCTACACTGGGTTTCACCATAGTATTCTACTTTTGCATGTTTGAAATTTTTCCTATTAAAATATCACATAGAAGAGTCACTTTCAACTGGAGTGGAAATTAAAAGAATTAAAAAAAAGAGAAATACCTATTTAGCCAGGGGCACTGACCAACACAACAGCCTACACAACAATAGCTGTCCAGTGTGAATGAATCAAAATTATACCTATTTGTCAGATTGGCAAAAAATATAACTTTTGGTGTGCCAAAATTTTTAGTTATTCGTTTGTGTGCCATGAGATGAAAAAGGCTGAAATTACTGACCTAGAATAATTACATAGAAGTAATAATTTTCAAAATTACTTTAGAAAAGAGTTGCTGTTGAATTCTCAGCCAAGCATTCTAAAAATGTAGAATCATTTGATGTCGTAGATGTCAAGAATTAAATAACAGAAATGTAGTCACATTTCTGTTGTAACCAGTCCTTTCATTAGTTGTCTGAATTTGGAGTGTTTCATTTTAAAAACTGTGCATCTGCTCACTGACCATCTTGCTTGAAGAATCATGAGCAAGGGTTACAGGCTGGAGGGGAGGGAGGAGCCTGCTCTCTTCCAATGGGAGATGAATAGACGGCGGGATCTGGGGAGGGGAAAGCTGAAGAGTCCTCAGATACGGAGGAAATTCAAATGGGGAAAAAAAAAATCACTTGAGGTCTGTAAAGAGGAACTGATGGAGACAGAGGGAGTGGGACCAAATCAATCAACAGGTGATGAGAAAAGGGGAGAGTAGCAACAGGAATAAAAAGAGCCAGAAGAAGAACTAAAAGAATATGCACTGACAGGATTGATTTGTATGATTCCCGGCTACCCTTTTAACTCATTTACCGTCACAACTGTTACACATTCTTTTTTTTTTTTTATAAATATATTTTATTGATTTTTTACAGAGAGGAAGGGAGAGAGAGAGTTAGAAACATCGATGAGAGAGTCATCGATCAGTTGCTTCTTGCACACCCACTACTGGGGGTATGCCCGCAACCAAGGTACATGCCCTTGACCGGAGTCGAACCTGGGACCCTTCAGTCTGCAGGCTGACGCTCTATCCACTGAGCCAAACCGGTTTCGGCTACACCTTCTTTTAACAATTAAATCTGTTTTGCTAGAGATTGAAGTTAGTTTTAGCAGACAGCAATTATGAAAATTTTGGGGGAATTAGTTTAGAATTGCCCTTCAGATACAACATTGATGCTACCAGCCAGGCCTGGAAACGTGGGTTCTTCTCCGCAGCCCATTTGGTGATGAACCGTGATGCCTGAGCCACCGGCACTCCCTCTCACATTGCCACTGTGACTAACTGCAAGCTTTTGAAGGTAATGAGCTCAAGTTCCGAGTACCGGATGTGATGATGGAACAGCTTTTAGGGTGAAAAATGTTAGCGTAAAATAGCATTCAATTATCATTTCAGTCCCTGGTCTTTAAAAAAGTGTACAACTCTTAAAATCGGGATTTATTGGGGCAATATCCCAGGATATAAAAAAAACAAAAACCCAAATGGCCAAAGTAGCGAGGCCTCAGGAAGTAGATTCGTGATGAGTCTGGGGAAGCTGAGCCTCACGGCCTCTTCAGAGCTGTCGTTGTAACAGCTACCCTCTTAATGCTGAGTTACTTTGTCAAGCCTTTTCTCTTCACTCTGTTCCGTTCCCATTCAGCGCTTCTCTCTAAGATGCTGAGAAGGGACAAAACGTGGGCTGTGGTGGCGGGCAGCCCTGGGCTGGGATCCGGGATCTTCTCAAAGTCACTATGAAATGTGGATGATGACGTCGACTTCCCAGGGCTGCTGGGGAAGGACTGGGTGAAACAGCCCATGGAAAGACCATGGCCAAGTGCCTGGCACTCCACGGGTGCAGTTTGTTTCCTGTGGATGAGTCTAGCAGAATACGTCCAATACTCTGAGATTTATCATGATACCATCAGGCCTATCCAAAGCACTACATCACCAGAAGACTTCAACTTCTCTCATTTTGCCTTAAAAAAAAAAAAAGATTTTTGTTGATTTCAGAGAGGAAGGCAGAGGGAGAGAGAGAAACATCGAAGAGAGAGTATCATTGACTGGCTGCCTCCTGCATGCTCCCTACTGGGGATTGAGCCTGCAATCCCTGCCTGTGCCCTTGACGGGAATTGAACCCAGGACCCTTTAGTGGCAGGCCGATGCGCTATCCACTGAGCAAAACCAGCTAGGGCTGATTTTTTTTTTAAAAGTCATATTGCATTTGAGTAGTAAGCGTGTAAGTGGGTACCACGGAATGTAAACAGGTGAGGAGGTAGAAATGTATCGACGACTAATACGCAACATGACGCTGTGACGCACACCAACGAAATAGCTGCTTGGCTGCATAAAAGAAGTAACATTAAAACATCAAAAAGAGACTTAACATAGGAACAAGCTATTTTAATCAAGCAAAAGCAAATTTATATTCATTATTTCTAAAAATAAAATTAGACTTTTTCCAACCCTTAACATCTGCATTTAATAATATCTTCTAAACAAAATACAGATGTTAAAACAGCAAATTACAATATATCTTGGACAGCATACAGTATGTTCACTGTTTACACTTACTTGAATTCTAGTTGGTCGTTATGTACTCAATGCATACTTAAACATCACTCAAAATAAAGTTTTCACAATTAACAAAAAAATGTGACAAGGCTGTCGTAAAACGGCTCTGCTATAAATTGTGTAGAATATACAGAATTACAAAGTCAAGTATTTTTTTTATCAAAATATACACCCCTCCCTGAAACTAACACAAGCTGTCAACGTTTTAAACGAATAATACAATTATAGAAAATATTTGCAAAATTATTTTTTTCATGTATAAATATTCTGCCATATTTACTTTGGTCTAGAATTATCAGCATACAAGTCCACTTAAAAAATACCCACGTGTAAGGGCTGGGAGACATCACTACATGTAATAATTACTTATCTGGAGTTACCTCAAATCAAAATGACTAAAATACACAATTATTTTTCTTGATTCTTAATCCTAATTGGGATCAAACAAATTAGTAGGTCACTGGGTTGCTTATTCAATATTCTAATTATCAATTCTTCAGCCCTTGGTGACTATCTCTGTAACAAAACCAAATGAATAGTGCAGGTATACATATATACAATGTGTAAAATAAAGTTGAATTTACTTGCATCTTTTCCATTTTCCTCTATTATATAATACTGTATGTAACTGAATGTATTTGAACAAAAGATAAATGCAGATACAATATTGGGGTTACTTAACAGCAAAGTACTACAGTATTACAATACAAGGCAAGCTTTGATCATGTCCTTTTCTGGGTGTTTGAATGTTCTTGCCCACCTGAATCCGTATTCATTCTTCTTCATGAAGACATCCCATTTGGAGAGAGAAACTGGAGTCCTTTGAGCTACTTCTTCATAATGGTAACTCTGCAGCCTTGGGTAGCCTTGGGTTTCTATCTATCAAATCCTATGAACATGATTGACTGACTGCAGGTCACACTTGAACCGATTTCCGGATTCTGCTCATACTGGTGATCAAAGGATAGGGATGCTTTCTCTCCGCCTCCCATGATGGCAGCTTAAAAAGTAAGAATCATGAGTTCCAGCTTCCTGGGACCTAGTCCCGATGATGGACCTCCCATAGGACAATTAGACTTTGAGGTTGATGGTGTGGGTCAACATAAAAGAACATTAAAAAAATGTAAGTGGGCTTTTTTTTTATTTTTATTTTTATTTTTTTTTAGCAAGGGGGCTAGATGTCTGTAAACATGAAGACAAGGCATCTGACTTTGTGGATGTATTTCTGAGTCACATAAGTGATGGAATCTTATCACCCCATATTCTACCTCCCTCGCCACCCCAAACAAAGCTGTTTGAGGCAAGGATGGTCATCCCTTTCCGGTGGCCTACTCAAGTCTGGAACGGGAGGGGCAGAGTGTATGTTTCTGTTGCCCTTTTGTTTTATACTAGTGTCTGCTTGTGGGCTGCAGAGCTATCATTGTAGGGATTAGGCTTTCTGTCCCTTTCAAGCGCTGGGCACTCACCAAGGTACGCATGCTTTGCGTTAAATTTCCCAGACACCCCTTCAGTGGAACTGGAGGTGCCGGGTTTGACGTGACCTCTTGAATTCTGCCTGGAACAGACCTCCACATGTATGGCCTCGGGATGGATGGGCGACCGCAGGGAGTTTCAGAAGAACGTGAACCTTCTTCATTTTCTGAGGTGAGGTCATTGCAGCACGGGTAACCACAGGTGAATTCTGGGAAGGCTTTCCCCCATAGATGTTTTCTGTGACTTGAATAGACCAGTTCTAGTAACAGCTCAGCCACAACCTCAAGAGAACAGCATCCCATCTAAAAGCATTGACATGCTCTCTTAACTCATCTTCAGAATGCTTTCTACCGGTTTTCACACCAGTCTTCATTATCTGCCGATCTACTGCTCATCGGTATAATTCTCCACAGGGGACATGGGATTTACATATGTATTTTACAAGGTTTGTGTTGCAGAAAAGTAGTTCTAATATGTGAATGTCCTACTTAGGTTACTCATTTCACACACAGTTTTTTAGCTACAGTAAGTGTTTAATATGTACCCATGAAATTTAAACGGTTTTCAATAGTGCGGAAGCTGAATGGGAATGACTGTCAGAGCCCATTTACCTTTGAACTTGCTTATGCAGTTGACATTTTCATGATGTCTGACCTTTTTCTCCAGTGACTAAAGACAGTGTAGCAGCCAGTTCCTAACAGCACTAACCAGAAAGTTTTAAATTAGGCTAAAGTTAAACTCCCCCCCCCCCCCCACCTCCCCGCCCCGCCACCGGCAGAAATACCACAGCTCAGAACTTCATAAACTTTCACAAGATACTTGGGATACGGGCAGCGTCAGCCGTTTCATGTTTGCGCACTTTGTAAGACGTTAATGCTAAAACCCAAAGTAGATCCTGGGATCCTTTTTTCTGAAATGTTCACAAATGAGATTTCCTTTTTCACAATTCACACCTTCATGACTGTTATGTGAACAAAACAAAACTGAACTTAAAAAACGCACACACACACACACACACACACACACACACACAAAACAGCTAACTGAAAAAACAAACTAACAAAAAACCCCCCCACCAATTTATATTTTTGAAGACTCCCCCCCCACCCCCTTCACTACTCAAAGGACATTTCCAACCAGGATTTGTAGATGATCCTTTTGGTCACTGTCTTCCGAATCCATGAAATGGGGATTCTGCAGCGGAGCTGAGTTCCCATGGTACAGCTCGCCTTCCACCCTCTCCTGCTGGCTCGGGCTCTCGAACAAGTGTTTCTTCTGGTGCATCCCCAGGGCGGCAGCCGTTTTGCAGATCTTGGGGCACTGGAAGCAGGCGAAGCCCTTCCCGGCGTGCTGTCGGACGTGCCGCTGCTCGTGGTTCCTCTTGGTGGAGAGGTACAGGAAGCTCTGGAAGCAGAACTGACAGTGGTAGCGCTTCTCGCCGGTGTGGATCCGCTCGTGGATCTTGAGGGTCTCGCTGAGCGTGAAGGCCTTGCTGCAGTACTGGCAGACGAACTCCTTCAGGCCCAGGTGGATGCGCTCGTGCTTCTGCAGGTTCCCCTGCACTGAGAAGCACCGCCCGCAGGTCTTGCACGGGTACGGCTTCTCCCCGGTGTGGCACCGCATGTGCATCTTGAGCGTGGAAGGGTTCTGGAACTGCTTGGCGCAGAACTCGCAGGCGTACGGCCTGGCCGTGAGGTGCCGGTGGGGCCTCCCCGGGCTCCCGGTCCCCGGGGCCTTGTCTCCGTCGCAGAGCTCGCACTGCAGCTTGGGCATCTCTTTGTTTTCTTCCTCCTCGAACGCCTTCTCCGGGGGGGCCTTGCCCACGGCGCAGTCCAGTTCCGCCGGGTACTTATACTTGGTGCCTGGGCTCCTGCCCCCGTGCTCCTTCCTCCAGTTGGCTTTCCTCATCTTCCTCAACTGCCTCGATTTCTTCTTGGGCTTGTAGTTGTAGTAAGGGCGCCACGGTTTGTCCGTGGTGTCCTGGTCGCTGGCCTCGTCGAACATCTCGCTCATGTCCATGCACTCGGACTGGCAGAGGTCGAGCGGGCTGTCGCCCTTGGTGTCCGGGTCACTCTCCTGCGGCAGAGCCTCCTCCTGCGCTTGGTGCTTGGGCCTCCTCCCTCTTTTGTAGAACAGCTTGGATCCTAGGATGTGCCTCTTCACGATGGCTTCGTTCCCGATCTTGACTGTGATTTGGCAGAGGGGCGCCACGTTGCTGTTGGTGGAGGTGCCGGGCAGGGCGGGCTTCGCGATGTAGGTTTCGATTTTGCTGGTTTCTTTGCTGGCGTTTGTGGTTTTGCTCAGCGACCCTCCGGGGTCGGCCGCGGATCTCGATTCCTCGGGGACGTCTCCCCTGTCACAGGGGCCGGTTTTCTTTTTCTCCCTAATGCCTCTGTGTCTGCTGCCCACCCTGCCCGCCTTGTCTGGCTCGGGCTTGCTGTCCTCTTTCACCGTCTGGCCGGCGGCCGGGCCTGAAGGGGCCCTGTGGCTGCTGCCGGGGCCCGACAGGGCGGCCGCCATGCCGCTGTGCACGATGACCGAGGAAAACTGGCTGCTGTGCACGATGACCGAGGGCGCGGGGCCGCCGTAGCTGATGACAGACGCCGAGTTCTCGCTGCCGTGACTCAAAGACAGAGCGGGCATCCCCCCGGCGGGGAGGCTGGAACCACCGACAGCGTTTTCAGGGAAAGGAAGGGACGCCTCCTGTGAATAAAAGTTATTGTCAAGACTGGCTTTCAGCGTCTCCTCTCCCCACTTGGACCCCTCTGCGTTCTGAAAGCTGGCAGACGTGGGTCTGTCCTGGCCCGCGGCCGTGTCCGGCGGGACGGCGGGGCTGCGGGTCGCGGGGTGCATGCCCTCCGGGAAATTCAGAGCGGGCAGCTCCGAGCCGCGCGGGTTCTGAACGACATAGGGGCCGGCTGCGGGCTCACGCCCCTGCCTGTTCTCTCGGGCACTTTCGTAGGATGCGCTCCGGTAGCTCTTGTAAGGGGCCCTCTTGCATTTCATGGGCAGCAGCCGGTACAGTTTGTACGGATAGACGCTCGGTTTCAGGCCTCCGTTCGCCGTTTTCTTGCTGATGGAGAGTCTGTGGTCTATGGCGTGGAAAGACTTCTGATGGTTTTTGAGGATGTAGTAGGTCATGAACGTTTCCAGGCAGAAGATGCACTGGTACCGCCTCTCCCCTGTGTGCCAGATCTCGTGCCTCGTCCGGTACTCGGCCAGCGCGAACACCTTGTTGCAGTAGTGGCACGGGTACGTCCTCCTCCAGGAGTGCACGTTGGCGTGCCGGCGGAGGCTGGACAGGGTCACGTAGCTGCGCTTGCACACGGTGCAGCTGTAGAGCATCTGCCCGTTCACCAGTTTGACCAGGTGGTCCATCTCCGGCAGGGTGCTCCCGGGGCCGGAGAAGTCACCGATCCTATTTCCGGATAACAAGGACTCCGGACCCGGGAAGGAGGCTCTGTTCTGTCCGATGGTGGGGTAGTTTTCTAAAAAGCACTGGTTTCCTCCCGGGACGGGGATGTGGCTGGACCGCATGCAGATGTGTTCGTGCCGGTCCAGCCTGTTCGGGGTGCTGAACTCCTTGTTGCAGTACTTGCACACCAGCGGCTGCTGGGTGGGCTTGTGCAGCTGCATGTGGGCGCCCAGCAGAGTGCTGCTGTCGAAGGACTTGGAGCAGGAGCTGCAGTTGTAGACGAGAGGCGGGAGAGGCGGGACCTCCGCGGCCGGCGGCCCGGGGACCTCGGAGGAGGCGTTCTCGTCTTCCCTGGGCGGACGGACGTCGCCTTCCGCGTCGGGAGATGCTGAGCCGGGGAGGACCGCGGCCGGCTGCGGGCTCCTTTCCTGGGGAGCCTCCACGCGGGTTCCTGGCGGCGGGGGTGGCGTCTTCTCCGTGGCCGGCTCGGAATCCTGGGGCGCGGAGAGCGCCGCGGGCTTCTGGCACGCCGTCGGGTTTTCGGCCACAGCTTCCCCGTTCTCTTGGCCTGTCCCGCCGGGCGGGCTGCCGGCGGGCCCGCACAGGGGCAGGGGCTGGGGCTGGGGCTGGGGCTGGGGCTGGCTCCGGTAAGCCTCGGCCGCGGAGGAGGCGGAGGAGACCGCGTAGGAGTGCTCCGCCAGGGTCCGCACGGGCTCCGCCCCGTGGCAGCCGTCCGCCCTCTCCAGGCAGAGGCTGGCGTTCCTCATGGAGTCCGAGACCTTTTTGAAGCTCGCCCTCAGGTCCAGCGGGGAAAACATGCTATTGCTGTTTTCCGTCTCGATGATGGAGAACGCGTTCGTGATCCTTGGCCCGTTGGCGATGGCCGGCTCCTCGTGCTGTCTCTTTTCATTCTTCTCCTCTTTCACCACCCCCTTTTCGGTGATGCAGTACACGTAGGGCCCCGGGGAGTGGCAGAAGTTGCGGCTGGTCAGGTCTTCCAGGAAGGATATCCCCAGCTTCTTCCCTGCGGCCGCGAGGTCGGTGACCGTTTCCTGCCTCTTGACGACGACGGTGGAGCTGTAGATGTAATTGAGGATTTCCGTGAACACTTCGGCTTTCAGATCATCCAGCTCCAGGACGTGGCTGGAGATGCAGATGGTGTGGCTCCAGAAGATGTTTTTGAAATAAAGGCTCGAAGCAGCCAGGACATTGCTGTGGGCTTTGAACTTGGTGTCCTCCACGATGATGGTGACATCGCACAGGATGCCCCGGATGCGCTGCTCGTTTAGGATGGAGAGCACGGTGTCGCTGTGCAGGTCGTCCTTGAGGTCCCTGGAAAGGGACATGACTGTCATCTGAAAGGAGACGAGAGAGATGGTCAGAGACCCCTCCACAAGGACCTGCTTTGTGTCTAGATTATTTTCAACTTCTTTGGGAAAAAAAAAATTTTTTTTTTTGCATGAAAAGACACGTGTTTTTTTTTTTTTATTACTAAAAAAAAAAAAGTTTCATTTTTACATTTATTTAGCTGTCTGACTCTGTGCATGTGCCTTCAACACTTCCACAGCGATTTTCTGCTCCTCAGTAAGGAAAGCACACTTGATCCTGTCACGGACACATTCAGCACACATGGATCCGCCGTGGGCCCTGCTGACTGACGTATGTTTTCGTTTTGGACAACCTCATGAGAACTTCAGGCCTCCCAGCACGAACTCCGCGAGGCCGGCCTGGGCACACACCACACGCAGACGTGGGTGCTTTCCTAATCTTCCCGGTGTGAAGGTGAACAATTCTATCACCAGGGGATCGGGACAGCCTAGTTCCGTCAGAGGCTGTATTGTAGGACCGCCTCGGGCGGTATGTCAAACGCTGGACCACGGTGAATACCTGAAGCCACCGTCCCCGGAGGAGGAAAAGGAAAGCGCGTGCGAGTTCAAAGGTCAAGCAGACTGCCAAAAAGCCAGGTTTTTATGTCATGCTGTCGTTGCTTCCAAGACTTGGGGATCAACACGAGAAGCTAAATCTTCCTTGCGCCCCAGCCTGTTTCTCAGACCATTGCTAAGAGTTGCATAGTTGGAAATCCTCTCAGAACTCTTTCTCCAAAGCTGTAGCTATAGATACATGTCTAAATCGGGGGGAGCAGGGTCGCCTTCCAAGATGTTAAGGGTCTCATCATCCCTCCAGCCTGCTGCATGGATGGAACTCCTAGAGCTAGGCAACACCATGGTCCTGCCACAAGCCTCCTATCGTTTCCAAAGACGGTCTGGTGATCTGATCCAAACAGAATTCATGAAGCAGGAAAATGGTTTTTCTTTAAGTTTCCTCTAAGTAATCAGTGCCTGTCTGTAAAGGTATTATTACCAGCTCAGAGCAGAAGCAAGATCTGGAGGGGCAGCTGTTCCTAATTGGTGGCTCCCAAGGGTCTCTCAATGGAAAGTCACAGCCTGAATGGCCACATCTGACCACCAGGGGCGCCCTGCCCCTCTTTGGGACCCACCTCGTTCCTTCTCTGCTTTCCCTTTCATTACAGCCAAAGGCGAGTAGGGTTTTCAAATAGAACTCTGTGAGGTACTGAGGACAAACAAAACATATGAAACCAGGAAAGTATGTTTCTGAGCCCACAATGCTGAGTCTAATCACAAACTCCTAAATTAGCACAATTTAAAGGCACAGTGGCTCTGGTCTGAGGATCCCAGCTCTGTTTTCCCCCAGAGACGAGTTCGTGTTATTCTCCACACATGTTCTATAATCAGTCTGGAATGGCCAGGGCCTGCCAACTAGTAGCCTTGTGAGGGGCAGTCAAAAGGTGTTCATGCCACACGTGTACAATAAATACATGGCTGAACTAAGACGCAAAGGAAATTAAAACGTGACCCTTACCATGTGTGACGCAGTTTGTTCTGTTCTATTATCTTTCATTTCAAAAATGCCAACAGCTGCCGAAACAGGTTTGGCTCAGTGGATAGAGCATCGGCCTGCAGACTGAAAAGTCCCAGGTTCGATTCCGGTCAAGGGCATGTACCTTGGTTGTGGGCACATCCCCAGTAGGGGGTGTGCAAGATGCAGCTGATCGATGATTCTCTCTCACTGATGTTTCTAACTCTCTATCCCTCTCCCTCTCTGTAAAAAAATTCAATAAAATATATTTAAAAAAATGCCAACAGCAACTCACTAAACTAATTTCACTGTACAATAAGATATCACCCCTGCAGTTAAAAACCCCCACAAAAACCACCTCTGGTCCATGGGATACACTAACCAGCCATCACCCAGTCTCTCTATCCCTTGTCCAGTGACATCCAGAAAGCCACGGAGCTTGCTGGTATTTCTTTATCTCCCAGTGGCAGTGGAGTCTTACGTTTAGCCCACGGCGCTGATTCTGTTGGGAAGGCCAGATGGCCACATACACAATCTCTTTTTACCCTTTTGTGGAGCTGATATAAGCTGTGCCCATTATGTTACTCAATATCCTTTATGTAAGAGTCCATTTGATAATTTTTTAACCATTTGTACGCCATAAGTGTCTCTAGAGGCAAGCGGCAGACCTTTTTAAATTAAATTCAAAATATCGTGGCAGTTAACTGGTTAAATTTCATTCAGCCATAAGAAGTACACTTCTACTCACAGCTTCTTCGATTCAGGTAACGAGAAGAGGATAGTCTCCATGTTTCTTTTAATTCTTGAGACAAGTAAGAATTAACCTTTCTCATCAATTGTGATAGCCACTGTGAGCCTGGGTTCCTGGTGTGACAACTGCCTCACTGTCTCTGGTTAACGTTAGTTCTTCCACTCTCGTTTACCCGGCCTTTACTCCTTGTCTCCCATTTATCTTTTCTAGAACTCTGGAGGGGGAGGGGGTTTAAATCTATAATAAAAATGAAATGAAATCTTGCCGAAACCGGTTTGGATCAGTGGATAGAGCGTCAGCCTGCGGACTGAAAGATCCCGGGTTCAATTCCGGTCAAGGGCATGTACCTTGGTTGCGGGCACGTCCCCAGCAGGAGGTGTGCAAGAGGCAGCTGATCGATGATTCTCTCTCCTAGATGTTTCTAATTCTCTATCCCTCTCCCTTTCTCTCTGTAAAAAATCAATAAAATATATTAAAAAAAAGAAAAGAAAAAAAGAAATGAAATCTTTATGGCTTCCTCTGTGTCCCCAAACAGACCACAGGAGTGTGTCCTTCGCATTTATTAGGTTGTACACCATTAACACACTCTGTTGATATTTCTTTTGCCTTCCTTGAGGTGTTTCTGTTCTGGGCCCTGTAGGGTCTACTTTGTCTCCTGACTCATATATTCTTATGCAGTTTGGTTTTTGTAAGGCCCATACATTATTTCAATTCTTTTTATTTTTTAAATTTTATTTTTATTTTATTTATTTTAAAAATACATTTTATTGATTTTTTAAAATATATTTTTTATTGATTTTTTACAGAGAGGAAGAGAGAGAGATAGAGAGCTAGAAACGTCGATGAGAGAGAAACATCAACCAGCTGCCTCTTGCACATCCCCCACTGGGGATGTGCCCGCAACCAATGTACATGCCCTTGACCGGAATTGAACCCGGGACCTTTCAGTCCACAGACCGAAGCTCTACCACTGAGCCAAACCAGATTCGGCACATTTTATTGATTTTTTACAGAGAGGAAGGGAGAGGGATAGAGTCAGAAACATCAGTGAGACAGAAACATCAATCAGCTGCCTCCTGCACACCCCCTACTGGGTATGTGCCTGCAACCAAGGTACATGCCCTTGACCGGAATCGAACCTAGGACCCTTGAGTCTGAAGGTCAATGCTCTATCCACTGAGCCAAACTGGTTAGGGCTTTTCTTTCTTTTATTATTTCAATTCTTTATCCAGCCTGACTGGATAATCTCAGATTTGGTGAAACACCTGCTATGTGATTAAAAAAGCTGCCTTCCAAGTTGGCTTAGTTCTATGCTGTGTCATCTATTTTGTCTTTTCACCTCAACATTACTGCTTGTTCCAAAACACCCACTTCACAGCACTCTGAACAATTCAGGACCTCTCAGGGGATGTCGGATAGCCAGTTTCTGCCCAATCCCTACAGGCCCGATCCAGACAGGAGGGAGCCTAATCCTATGCTTTAGTATCTGTTCCCTGGTGGTCAGTGTGAGCCATAGTGACTGGTCGACCGGTTGTTTAGGCTTTTATATGGATAGATAGATAGAAAGCATCATTATATTTGTCAATGAAACATCCTCATAACTTTGGAATATCCAAGTATGAAATCTTTCATGGGACTATCAACCATTGTGTGGTAGAACCCTTTAAGAAGCTAGCACTTATCAAGTTTTAGTGTGCTATCAAAGAATATCCACAAGTAACTGGAAAGATTAAGAAAACTCCTCCTTTGTCCAATTACCTATTCATGTATGGCTAGATTTTCTTTACATATTTCAACTAAAATAATATATTTCAACCGAATCCAGAAGCAGATATGAAAATCCAGCTGCAAAAATGTAAAACAATACTACTTTTCCCACTATATGGGTTTTTGTTTGTTTGTTTGTTTTGCTTTAGAAAGTAGTTTTTTGTTTTTTTTAAATAAAATGTTATTTGTCAGACACCTGGTTTTATCATAGCATTTTTTTCAGAAGTTAATAGTATTTTTTAACTCTTATTTTAAATTTTGAATATGGTAAGTACTGATAGCTATAACTCAGATAAACGAAAGCTCTTTAGACCCTCAATGATTTGTAAGAGTGTAAGGGAATTCTGGGACCAGAAAAATTTGAGAACTGCTGCTGTAGTCTATGAGAAAATGTTCAAAATCATTTAAAAAGAAAATATTAAAAAAAAGTATTTTACTTAATAAAATAAATCATATATACTAGTAAGCCCAAAAGAACTGAAGACAAAGTGAACGCAAGTGTGGTAAAATATAAGGCAGAAATCCTCAGGAGACAGGAGACAGGAAAGACCAAGGAACGGAGAAACACAGATTGATACACCCAGTCACACAGATACACATGCTAATTTTCCAGGTCCGAAGTATCACAGTCAAGTCCTCACTAACTCGCCAGAGCTCTCGCCAGCAAAACACTGGAGGCCTTCTCAGAATCGGAGGGAACACAAGGACCTCCATCCAAACTGGAACTCCTGCCCTTCATGCTGCTCTCATAACCTCGGCCATCTCACTCCCTACTGGGTATGTGCCCACAACCAAGGTACTTGACCTTGACAGGAATTGAACTGGTCAAGCATGTCTGTCCCGACCACTCTGACCTTCCTGCCTGCTATTTCTCTGCCTCCCTCACTGGCCTCCTTGCTGTTTCTTGAAGAAGCTGGCATGTCCCCCCCCCCTCCCCCCCCAGGACCTTGGCATGTGCTG